ATTTGGAGGGAGGGGGGGGGGGGGGGGGGGGGGTGGGGGGGTGGGGGGGGGGGGGGTAATTCACATGAAACGGGACAGGGAATATTTTGATTGTGGTATCCCCCCCCCCACATGCTCCAACTGTTTATAAATCTACATTATTTGAACATGCTATTGGCAACTGTTTTAACTCTTTCTCCATATCTCAATCTCTCTCTCTTTCTCTTTCTCTCTCTCTCTCACACTCTCTATCACTATCTCACAGTGGTTGGATCAGTGAACAAGCCGAGATGTGCCCGTTAGAATGTATAGTTCCTAGTGGTGTAGGTATTTATTCAATCTGTAAAGATAATGCACAAAAAATAACATATTTTGAGTTATCTTGTTCATACTCTGAGTCTGACATGTTCTTAATAAATGGTTAGAAATGTACAATTCCTTTTGTGACCTGGTTCTTATTTATGTTTTCCTTATATAGAAAAGAATCTACAAATGCCTGATTAATGAATAACCCATATCCTCTAAATTGCCTAAGTGTTTGAGTGTAGCAGACAATATTGCTTGTTATCAAAAACCAATTTAGAAATCACCTTCAAATCTTTAACTAAATCACTAACAACTCACTCACTGACACATTACCTTAAATTCCTTTACACAAAAATTGTGCTCCTAACTTCAACCTATTTTCACGTGTACATTATTTACCGAGAACTTTAATTTTTGTTTATAACTTTCCTTTTCCTTCTTGTTTTACATAATCACATCATCAACACATTATTTACATAATTATATCATTAATCCAAAGAACTTACTTCTGTGGCGGGACACAAATTAACATGCCGAAAATGAGCAAATGATGACGAGCTGACAATTCCTTCCTGTCAACGTGTTGAAATGAAAGTGAGTGACAACTGAACATGCCGTACTAAACCCACCGTGAAAGAAATTGCTACGGTATCTTCAGAAAGAAAAATCCAAAGAAAATACGACTCTAACTGTCTGAGCTTACAAAAGTAACGGGAAAAAACGATCTCAAAATAAATACCTTTACAACGATTGAATTCCTTAATAATATGAAAAACAACAATTTCATACCAAAACACACAGCATTATATATTTCTCATTTTCATGACATCAACATCTCTTACTATTAAATAGTGCTCTCTTATATCTTTCCCTTTCTCTTTTTCCTTCTGTTCCAGACCTTTTCCACGTATGATTCAATTCATTCAACCGTAATGCAAATTAACGGTTACAAGATATGAAGAGTATATTGTACATAAGTTAAGACAAATTGTGTTAAATTCATTTATTGTTCTTAAAACATCAAAATAGTGTTATTCACAATTTTTACAAATTATAACATTGTTGGTAAGATATTAAGCTCAAATAGCTTTGAAAACAAAGAATAACGCAAGGAAAGATAGGATAAATATTCAATGACAGGGGAAAGAGTTGTACTGAAAACTATTATAGAAGATAGGAAAAGAATGAAAACTCAATTATGGGCTTTGTATGTGTTTCCATCACAGACAGTGATGGGTCTAGGTGTAAGCTAGTTATTTAACTAAATATTATCTGCACAGTAATGAAGGGCCAACAAATATATGGAACTGTACAAGTTAGAGTAAGAAAAATCCGCTTACAAGATATTTCGAGAAAAAAAAGATTAACACACAAGTCTGATATATTATATAGGGATTTAGTAGCGCCAAAACCAGTCCTATGTCAATTCACTGCGCCTTCCCGATTAAACAAAACATGTGAGCCAATGATTTAGTCAAATAAAACATTATAAAACATCAAATTATTATTGTGTCCTACTTTTACGACCAGGGAAATGCTAGGAAACCGATACATTAGAACAAAGATGTATCCTCGTATGGCTAAGACCAAGTTCTACGAAATCTGATTCGGTTCAGATAAACCATAGGCCCTATTTCCAACATTTATCATTGTTCCAATTTCATCTACAATATAAAAACCTATTTTTAGTGCCCCAACAGTAAAGGCTTGAAGATAGAGAACATAAACATCCAACCGTTAGTATTTATTTGTGTTTGAGTGTGACGCGAGTGCGTGTGTGGGTGTGTGTTGACGTTTTTGTGTATTAAATAAGTAAAGTCTATCTTTTTCGCATTAATTATCTATTTATTGCTGCACTTATAAATGATGAAGTGTATTTCCTTTAAGACGAAATAATGGTCCATTTACTTCGTAATTTAGAACGTTCCATTACATAACGGCAGAAGCATAAAAATGCATGTTTTTAGTCATTTGACTTTAAACCTTGTTACGGATATTTAACTCACACAATCAAATAAAGAATTATTTACATACAGTCTTGCACTCTTGATCTCAAAACAAATAATTGAATGTATTAGCGATCGTAACGTTATTTGTCTGGTTAAACTGATATTGATAATTTATCTTACACAGTAAACTTTGTATACACATGAACAATCAACTGCAAGTTGGTGCCACTTTTCTACTCCTAAAGCTTCGTTATACACATGAAAAGAAGTAAATCAACATCTTGATCGACAAATCTCTGTGATTACTCATTATCTTAATTGGTATAATAAGACAATGATATGAGTAAAAGTAGATACAATATGTATGATTGTATGTACATCCTTACTGTTAATCACCTTTTTTGCTAAACATTATCATGATGTATACTTATTTATTTTTGAGATTAGATATATCATGTTATGTTTTGTTATATATTACATTATGTGTTATTAATTTTGTTTGTAAAGTTGTGTAATTCGGTGAAAGTTTTATTTGAATTAAACTGAATTGAATTATTAATGCGTTCAAGACAAACTTCGAATCGAAGTCTATTGTTTCTCATAATATTTATATCCCTCTTCTCTAACAAAGTCGTTCATGCCGACATCGGTGCCGCCTACCACCTGGTTGTTGAGCTCACACACACCATTGCCGATGTTAAATGACACGCAGTCATCTCGCCTGTTACACTCGGCACCGCATTCGACCAATGACAATCCTTGTTTGGTTTTGATCACGTGATTTTGAAGGCGCCATCTTTGGTGGATCAGGTTGAAGAGGGAGGTCTTCTAGTGGACTATGTCTGCTTCTGATGGTATTGTAGGCAATGCCTGGTGAATTGTGGTAAAATCTGTGGAAAATAACCGAAATAAACATTTGATGTGATGTTTGACGATACCTATTAACGATGTTTGACGATGCCTATATCAAAGACGATCGCAAAGGCTTTCAAAGAACGAACCTTAATCAAGCTCAATAGCCTTGGTCATCACCTTTTAAAATATGCGAGCATTGCAGCGACGTATTATATAATCCAAACATGTTTTCTTTGGGATATATGCAAGAGTGTATTTTAATTGCCTTCGATTTTATTTCTAGGAAGTCTTTGTGAACGTGTTATGAATTATACCAAGTTTAAAGATGCGATGCTAGGCAAAGATTAAACCCTTTCAACCCACTTAAAGATTACGTAGGCATACACTTGATATAAAAAATACATTTAGCATGAGACTACACCTGACTGATTTTTTTAAGGCCAAGTTGAAATTTCATGTGGCCTGTCGAATATCTCGAATTTTTCCTGAAAGATCGTTAACATCACACACTGTCTAAAGCAACGGTTTGACTTTTTCCACTCTCTCTCTTTATGTTCATTGTATTATTTTGTTTTTGAAAGAATGTTTAAACAAGTCCAGTTGCCGTTGGAGAAGAAGGCAGAGGACTATCTGACCATCTATATTAGCTTACTTTCATAGTAGGTATACAGAGAGATGAAATTACGTTAAAATGATGAAAAATCTTTTGTCCATAATATAGACCGACAATACAATACCTATATCGAATTACATTATAAGGCAACGGATGCTTTTAATTTTCCACACAATAGATTAATTATTTGTTTATTTGTGTCGGGGTGGGGGGGGGGGGGGGTGAAGGGCTGTGGATGCTGCAGGCGAAAGAAATATTCCCCCTTCCCACCGTCGTTCATATAATAATTAGAGAAATATTTATTTTTGAACAAAACTATACAAACTTTTAACTCAACATTTGTAAACGAGGATACAAAAAAAAATGGCGAAAATTTGCGAAGCAAAAAACGCTCCGTCGGCTAACTTTCCCACTGCCCCAAAAACATATATGTATGTATATTGTATATTTTTGCACCGTCTTCTTGCAATAGATGCCCCTCTTCACCCCCCCCCCAATTTAGTGTACAGAAATAAACATACTTTGCTGGTTGCTATCTGTATAGGGGAATGCTACTTCTAGCATTAGCTCAACCATGAAATATTAATTATATTAATAACAACGATGATGATGATAAATAACAATGATGATGAAAGTAATACATATAATACTACAACTAATACAACTACTACTAATACAGTCAAACCTGTCTATAACGACCACCCAAGAGAAACACAAAAAGTGGCCTTTGGAGACAGGTGGTCTTTGTAGACAGGTTCCTTTAGTACATGATTCAATGAGAAACCATTTTCAAGGGAAACAACAAATTTGGCCTTTGTAGACAGGTGGTCTTTGTAGACAGGTGGTCACTAAAGCAGGTTTGACTGTATAATGATATTAATATTAACAACTACGGTAATAATAATAATAATAATAATAATAATAATAATAATACTTCTACTCAAATTAATAATAATCGTAATTAACAATAATAAAATAATAATAGTTACATACTAATGTTTCTAATAACTGTACTTTCGCAACATATAGTGTCTAATCTGAATTTTTACTAATCTTTGATAATAATAATAATGATGATAATAATAATCATAATTTGTTTACAGAAAAAGCCTCATCAGCTTCAGTGCAGTTCTGCCAAAGGGCCCTGCAATTGTTATTACACTACGAATTGCCAGGTACACATTTACAGCTGGGTTGGAAGTGGCGAATGTGGGCTTATGTCTTGCCAAAGGACATTGGTACCAGCCTGGGATTCGAACCCTAAACATAAGGAGTGAGAGTCAAGTGAATGAACCACTTTACCATGACACCTCTACATAATTTTGTGAATATTTACCTGGCGTAGGAGTCCGATATTCTGTAGGCGTTTCAGGAGTGCCCTGTTATCAAAAAGAAATGTACCATTCTCTCCGTTCAGTATAATCATAACAGATTATTTCACGAAATAACTTTAATTATTTTATTGTGAATACTTTATTTCATGAAAACGGGGTAATACAGAATTACATACGTAACTTAGTAGGAAAATATGAAACGACCCAGTTACCTAGCAATGATCGATGTGTATCGTGTTATGAAACCTATTATAATTCTCACTCATAATCGATGTTTAATACTTTTATTTGTAAGTGAGAAAAAGAAAATCTATGTCCAAAATATGTTGCACAAATGTATAAAATGAAATGAATGAATGAATGAATGAATGAATAAGTGATCAAGCGAGTGAGTAAAATAGAATGAATGAATTGTAATTTGAACGTTAAATCAGTTCATCATGTTATGAAAAAAATTATCTATAAAACAATTGAGTTAGTAAATTATTTAAATAACACGGAATTATATTCTTCCCAGCGAATGTGTGTACGTCCCATTACCCCGTTATGGATAACTCACACTTGTTGACCTTGTCGGCACGGTTGTTTCACCTCTGACACCTATGTTTGGAATAAGAATAGCATTAAAAAGACGAGCATTAAAAGATGCAATGCTAGGTAAAGACTAACCCCTTCAAACCCACTACAAGGTTACGTACACCTACACTTGACATGGAAATACATATAGCATATTCCCCTATACCTGACTGATTTATTAAAGGCTACGTTGATATTTCATGTAGCCTGTTGGATATTTTCATATTTATTTCTAATTACATTACAAGGTAACGGATACCTTCAATATCTACACAACGGCAGACTCTTTTTTTTAGGTGGCGGGGAGCTTTGGATGCTTCGCCCCCAACGGTATCATTTACGGCCCAAACCCCGCCCACGTATTTGTCCCATTTTGATAATGAGAAAACATTCAATTATTACACAAAATTATATCAAAATCTTAACTCAATATCTAGCGAGGATACAATACAAAATGAAGTAGAAATGCTACCTCGGCTTACTGGCCCACTGCATCAAATGCTTGTATGTTTATTGTACATTTTCTACTCTGGATTGCCAGTGTCGTGGGCATGAGGCCGCCAGGCAATTCACACAAAATAACAATAACAACATCAACAACAACAATGATTATAATAATAATAATACTAATAAAATGATAATAATTACATGTATTTAGCGCTTAAAGATAAACTTTAGTACTGGTAATGCGATTGCATTGTGAAAGAAAAGGTGTGGAAAGGATCAGAAACAGTTGATCATGTAGCATGTAAGTATTGGTGTGCACTGCAAGGTTCTGGAGTCATCAAAATCATGATAAATTTGACCGAGTCTTGGTAAAGTAACAAGCACATACACAGAAAGCTATGTATGGGACAACACGCACGGTGTCGGGGTTGGTACTACCTTGATTCCTTGTCTTTCTATGCTCATTACTCAGCCAGTATACATTTTCTTCCAAAATTGTTAGGCACATGTCATTTATTTGTAATCTTGAACATTCAGTGTAAGTTTCGTTTGATTCTGTGAGAAATAATTTTCTTTTTTTTACCAGTACTCAACCTTCTCTTTAATTCTAATGTTTCTAATTGCTGTGTACCTGCTATTACAACCAATAGTGCTTTATCTAGATTTGCTTTATCTTGAATATTAAATGATCATAATCATGATTTTGTCTATCAAGAGAAGTCTCATTAGATTCAGTGCTATTTTGCCAGAGGTCCTGCAATTAGTATTACTTTAGCGATTGCCAGGTACCCAACTAAACTGGGTAGGAAGTTGCGGATGCTGATTAATGTCTTGCCAAAGAAAATTCGTGCCGGACTCGGATTCGAACCCTAAACATTCGGATTTCGGATTGAGAGTCCAGTGAATGATCCACTTTACCATGACACCTCCACAAAATTGTGTAAATACTTACCTGGCGTAGGAGTCCGATATTCTGTAGGCGTTTCAGGAGTGCCCTGTTATCAAACAAAAACGTACCATTCTTTCCCGTCAGTATAATCATAATAAATTAATTCATGAAATAACAAAAATTCTAAGTAGATTTCACGAAAACAGGGCAATTCAGAATTACATGCATAACTAAGTAGAAGAATAATAATCCAGTAACCAAGCAATCAATATTAAGTGAATCGTTTTATCATTCAACTTAGTGTTATGAAACTGATTACTGTTCTAACTATTACAAATTAAATGAATGCATGAATCAATGTGGGAGATAAAGCGAGTGCGTAAAAATAGAAGAAAAACAATTGTAAGATGATCGTTAATTCAATATATGATGTTGTACAAAATTTAATCTGAAAACAAATTAGTTAGTCAATTCTTAAATTACACCGAATTACAGTCTTCTTGGGAATGTTTGTATGTCAGATGCCCCCCTTATGGAGGATAACTCACACTTGTTAACGTTGTCGGCGCGGTTGTTTCATCTGTAACACCTGTGGGTGGAATAAAGCCCGTCAATGATTTAAACAATTAGATATATGGGGGAAAGATCGCCAGTGATCTTCATTCAACCACTCATTGTCAAATAAGCTGGCGATGCAGCTTTTACCTCTCCTGCTCGCACACTCTGGAACAAGCTACGCCCTCAAATTTAAATCATCACCAACATGCCAACAGTAGAACAATTCCAAAAGAGTTTGGAGACCTTTCTGTTCTAAAACCTTACCCATTCGTTGAAAACTACACTATCACTGCTTGGTAACACTAACTCGTGAAAGGCATTTTAGTGGAAAAGGTGTTGTATGAATCGTAACTATATCATTATGAAACATGTAGATCACTTGGAAAACAGTGCCAATACATATTTATGAATACATAACAAAAACATTCACTTCTCTACGCATCCCAAAATAAGAACATCTTGAATAATTTCGATTTGTGTGTCCTAGTCTTGGGTGATTATTACGCAATTGCTCTTGCAGTGGGAACAACGTTTACGATTTACTTCTCTTGAAAATAATTCCATTACTTGATTTATTGGATGCATTTTTAAATCAAAGCTATTGATATAATTACATGTTCATCCTTTCCATATCATGCAATTACAAGTAAACTATGTAAACTAAAACTTACATTCAGGCCCGGTTCTAGTAGACTATATTTTTTGAGGGGTGCCGGGGCTTGGGAATTCATGCATTTATTCTGCATTTGCCTCTTAGATTCATTTAATATTTTTTCGAGTGAGGTGGAAGTTTTTTTTTGAGGGGGGAAGGGGTCGCTTTCCCGCCATTTCTACCACTACTGCTTACATTCATAATCAGCGTAGCCGTAGGTGTACTCCCCTGGGCACATTGAACCCGCCACGCATGAGACAGTGAGGGAACATGGATTGACAGTCTCGCAGTACGGAGCCCACTGTGCCGTCTTGTCACTGTTATCACACAGGCTCTCCAGAGAGGGGTCATAATCATCACAAGAAGGAACCACAATACATACTCCTTTGGTGATTCTGATCGTTGATCCTGGGTCACACTCGATCGTGATTGTTGGTGACTCGGGCACTGGTTTACACCTTGTAACTATGCAAAGTGTGATACAAAGTTGTAATTATGACAGTAAACACATTTCCATCTTCACTTACAATACGAAGGATATAACATACATTTATATTCTTTCAGATCATTCTTTTTAATTTCAGATCCATACATTAAATTATTATCAAATTTATTGTGAAAGAAATTAAACATAATTTGAGGAAATCTGTGACAACAAAAGATTAAGACTATATTACATTAATTCATTTATGTTATAGAAGAAAGACATTATTATTTATAACTGTTTGGTGTTCACCCCGTTGAAAGAAGAGTAAACTGTTCATAAATATGGATTTATATAAATCGAATGTTTTTCACGGAAATTCCAACCGAGCCTAAAATTATTGAGATGGAGTTTTATTATATATCGGATATTAAGTCCACGTGTTGGCATAAGGTAAGGAAGTAAATTTAAACTGGAAATATATTTATTCCAACTGTTTTATTTCAAATTTCAAGGGATTTCAAGTTTCGTTAGAGGAGGAAAAGCTAAATCGGCACAGAAGCGTAGTGCCATCAGACGAGGAGTGCAATTGTCTACGAATTGAAGCCGATTCGGCTATTAGTCTGACTAGAAGTCTTTAACGAACTAAAATTACGATTGTAAGTATTCTTATCATCAGTTTAGAACATAAATTGGGAGGATGATGCATGTTCAGATTTCCTGATCTATTACAAATGCTATTAATTCGGGAATCGGAGCGCATTCGGACCGTGTAGTGTGCGCTGCATGGTCTTCGGCAAAGTGTACTTATTGATTATGAGTTTCTCCTCAAGAAATATCGAAACAAGGAGGAGGGGTTTTAATTTTGATATTTAACTTTTGATATATTTCCTGCACACACAAGTGCTATTGAAACCTTCTGTACATACCTTTTTTGCCTTGTTCATGTTTAATTTAGGTTTGCATTATATTAACGATTTATGTTATTTAACATTTCAGAACAAAAAATATCAAATAACAAACAAATTTAGGCAGGTCGTTAAACGGAAAGAGAATGGGACGAAAACCAGGTATTTATTTATTTGGCCTGAGGTATACTTAACTATAATCATAACTCATGGGATTGTGAACAGCAAAGGATTCGAGGTGTCTTTAAAGCACTCGAGCAGTTGTCTTTTCCGCCCCTATTTTTCAGGATTCATAAAATGTATTGAATATAGCTTACTTACCTCGGAGTGGCGCAGCTCTCTTCTACAAAAGAAATGAAATAAGAAATCATGTAAGATGGTTATCATTTTGAAAACCTATTAGGTAATGTAATAGGTAGTCTAAAAGTATCCAAATGTTATAGTTTTGCATCTTAGCTATGCACGAAAGAGTTATAGGAACGAACAACGTTACTATTTATGGGCCACTTTATTGTTGTTCATTGACAACCGATCAGAAAGATACCTTATCACTTTTAATAATAGTATATATATTAAAAATTGAACAAAAAGTAAATAATCAATACTGATTTGTACTTTGTGTATTACCATAGGGACGTAAAATATGACAAATCCCTGTAAAAAAGAAGATAATCGTGTTTTTCTTAGACTGCCGTGTAAGTGTTCCACAGGTTATTATGCTGTGAGAGAAGTTGCTCAAGTAATGCGAAACTTAAAACCCGTGAAACCCACCCTGGGGGTTTTCAGTTCGAGGACACCCACACCACCGCTTAAGAAAGATTTGTTATTATATATTTCTTTGATTTGTACTAAACCCCAAAACATGATCGACTTGTCAAACAATTTTGCCGTGAATATGTGTGAAAGTCGCTTCTAGGTTCCCAGCGGATCCCCTCCTTAAAAAAAATGAAGGGGATGGCTAACATTTTAAGAATACCATTAAAAATATTAAAGTGGGATTTTTTGATATTTGACAAACGCTTTTCTTCGATATGTTCTATGGTTACGTGTAGATGAATGAAGGATTCATATAGATATGTATGCATGAATAACTTCGTCATTTACCTGTCTATTTTGTCTTTTAAACAGGGAAGTTAAAGTAGGATTATCACAATCTCTAGAGGACGAAGATGAATCAGATTCTAAACGAATAAGAGAGATAAAACAATTTTTAGATATTGATTGATATAGCAGCTACTCTCAAAAGGTACAGGAGTGAAAGAAATTTTTTCTTTGAGATCTATACATTACATTATTATTTAATGTATTCTGGAGGAAAATGAATGTTATTTGAAAAAATTAGTGACAGAATAAAGATTCAGACTATAAAAGCATCATTGTATTTTGTGTCCTACTTAAAGGCCTCGTTTCACATTGTTATATATGAGATTCACGGTCTATGTGTTATCAGTGTCTGTGATATGGTGTAACATTGAAGCCCTAAAAAAATGCGCTTCAAAATGATCAAGAAGTGCCTCAAAAAGTAAAAATCTTTGAGTGACCGGTTTTTACCATAATCATTTTCCCGAATAGACTGTAGTCTTAGGAAAACCGTTAGGAAAACGCAAAATTTGGTTTCCATTTCCGATCATAAATATCTTGATAATCAGACAGGCGGTCGGCTTGTAAAAGTGCATAGTCAACTGTTGAATAAAGGAAATTAGCTAGTGTAGAACATTCGCCATGGAGCAACAATTTGTTGCCAGATCGATTCCCCCCATTGTACTCCTGCAACAATTTGCCAGGGCTTTATTCAACAAAGGTTTTGGGTACGTTAATATTAGGTTTTAAGTTAGATTTATGGTATTGGTTAGTATTTGGATAAGGTTAGGTTTGACTGCGGAAAAATTGTCGTCAGATCGTTGTTTACCACCGATAAATTCAATATTTCTTACCTCTTGGAGGAGCAGATCCAGCTTGGATTTCTAGTAAGCCGTGGATGATAAAGATGATCATAAGTGTCTTCCACTTTAAATCCATTGCAATGCTTTTTCTTGTAAATGGAACAACAGTTTTGAAACCAATCCTGTGATGCAGTAGTTTCTCTATTTATTATCCTAATACTACTATACTTCAGTTAAACCGAAGGATTACTCCGGGTCTCAAAACAAAAAGGGAAATTTAAAAAAAAATCAGACTTATTTCCTTGGTTTAACCAGATTTTGATGAAAAGCGTAAACCTAACGTTGGGGTTAATTTTTAGGAGAAGGCAGTCCTATGTCTCTACCAAACGAAATACATGCTACGATATAATGAGCATGCACATTTTGAGATGGCTACATGAAATCTTCTGCTGTTCCTATTGGCCGAACTAAAGTCATTCTCTATCATTATTAACCAAAATCGTTGTTTCATAGTTTGCTCTTTTTCTCCCCCACCTCTCCCTCTCTATTTCTCTCTCAATCTCTATTTCTATCCATTTTGGTCTCATTCTCTTTAACATGTCTCTTTGCTAGTTTGATCTCTCCCCCCCCCTCTCTCTCTATTTCTCTCTCCCCCTGTCCCTCCCCCTTTCTCTCTGTCCATTTTCCTTTCTGTACTCTCTATACCAATTTATTTCAAGGTCTAACAAACCTCTATTGATTTTCCTTTTCAATACACTTGTACAAAAAATGAGAACACCGCACTCCGACTTGATTAATTTCTCTCTAGTCGTGACAAATGTATATTTACGAAAAATGGTATCCAATTATAATAATTGAAGGCGCATACTTATGTTATAATAATTTTCTGATCGCTCAACACCAATACCCAAATAAATATTTATGAAATGAAATTACAGATGAATCGTGTTTATCAGACCATCACCTTTTGGTAACAATGTACTTCTAGGAGCATACAATTAGGATCGAAATATCGAATAAAAGTGAGGAGTCAGTACATGAACGTTGTTGCCGATAAAGTTGGAATATTTTTAAACCTCTTTTACTGAAATGAATTTGACAATGTGATTTATTCTTGATAGATAAAGTTTACATCTTCCTAGAACTTTATTGACCAATATTGGTGACCCGTATGAGTATGAGTTTCCAATGATACTGGTCGGTCAGGTAAAAAAACAGGGTTCCCTGCATGGAGCTGGGATCTGAACCAGTATGAAATGCCTATCAATTCATATGACGTTATTAACCAGAACACTTTAACAATTTCTAGAAACATCCAAATCAAAACGGTTTGGATAGATTTGATTTCATTCGTCAAGAATAAATGTATCGACAACATGAAATATGTAATTAAGGAAATAAACATTTTGACATGATAGCAAGTAAAAGCTTATAATAAACAATCGCAACTCTTTAAAAGATTGAAAAAGTATCATATTTCAGTTTCCGTAATTTCTTTCTCTATGTATAGGCTATTGACAGGGTCTATTACTTACTTGTCTTCCAAGATTCATTCAGAGAGGGTGGGGTGAACTATTTTCCTTTGGGGGAACTTTCTGGGTATATGGCGGACGTGTCCATGCACACACATTCCCCTATGCATCGACGCACATACTCCCTGATATCTTCGCTCTACTTTCTATCATGTTGACAAAAGGTATCTTTTATTCTCCAGTTGTTTCCATCTTTCTCTCCCCCACCTCTCTCCCTCTCTCTCTCTCTCTCTCTCTCTTTCTCTCTCTCTATATATAATTTCAATATATTATTCATCTCTCCGCCACTTTGGTGGCTAATATAAATGGAGCAAGGTTTATGAATATTTAGTCCATTTAGTTCGATTCGACTTTCACACAAATGAGAATGGGTTATCATTTGGTAAGCTTTTTAATAATCTTGTCAACAGGGGTGAAAACACATATCAATATTTTTATCAAAATAGTAGCTGAGTCCACAAAAATGTCATGGCAATATTGCCTTCTCCAATAAAAAAAATATTGCAATTGTCATGACTGCTGATTATTTAGATAGTTGGAATGGTCAGTGACATACGGATATCGGTGTCTTTCATAATACATTTTTATTAATGTTATAATATATATCACAAAGGGGACTTTTCATTTACAGTAAGTAATCGTTTAAATGATTGATATAATATAATTGTATCTGTATGATGGCCATAAGCTTAAAAGTAAAACTTTAAAGAAAAGGAAAAAATAGAAAGGGGTTGGGGATTTTAGGGGCAGAATCGTAAATAAGGGGGACACAGTTATACTCTCTTTTGTCAAAATGAAACGCTTTATGTCTTCTTGTTGAAAACAAATGGAAAAATTTGACGTTTGAAATGTGAATCTCACATTTCCTTTTGGTGGGGGAGGGGGTGTTCAGTTTTAGATTTAAAGTTTGACACCCTCTCCCCTCTCTCTTTTGAGAAACCAAAAAAGTGTAGTTTTATCAGCTCTTCCAAACTGTGTCGAGATTGAGCGGGGGCAATTCACATGAATCGGAACAAGCAGTATGGTTGTGGTATTTCCTCCCCCCCCCCTCCCCACATGCTCAAACTGTTTATAATACTACATATTTGAGCATGATATTGGCATTTGTTTTCACCCTTTCTTCCTAACTCCATCTCTCTCTCTCTCTCTCATCTCACAGCATTATATCAACATTTTTCACTATCAAATAGTTCTCACTTATTTCTTTCCCTTTGTCTTTTGCTCTCTCTCTCTCTCTCTCTCTCTCTATCTCTGTCACTGTTCTCGCACGTTCTGTTTCCAGACTTGTTGCTGTAATATCTCATATAAAAACAAAATACCGACATGTTTCCTTTTCAGCACAAGAGGGCACAACATAGTAACAAACAAACGGTAACCTTATTTGCCAATGCAAAATTTGATCCATTAAATACGTTTATGGTTAAGCGAGACGCCAAATATTAAAATATGGGGGGAGGGGGGGGGGGGGGGGGGGGAGGGTTAATGGGTAGAGTAGGGGAGGTTACCAAATGCAGTCAGTGTGTGGTTGCCCGTGTTTGTGCTAGTCTTGTCGCGTGCGTAGCTTCGCGAAACCAGTCTCCCAAGCTCCGCCATGTTTAAAGTTTGAACAACTGAACTCTTACACTAGGTAGTGTTAGATTTCAGTGATTAGGAACTTTTAGATTTGCACAACAACAACGTGGATTGCTACGATCGACGTCCTTTTAATGCACTGCCTTCAATGGACGTCACACGTATCAGTCCACGCAAATCTAAAAGTCCCTATTATAACACGATTTGAAAGCGCCCGAAGCCTCATGAATTATTCATTTTATGTTCGATGCTTCCTACATTCGTATATGCTCTTCACGCAACAGTAACAAACAAAATACAACGCGGATGAGCATCAAACATGCACATTGGGAAAGGTCATCTCCGCTTAATTCATTCGTAAGTGTTAATGTACTCATCTCTTGGCCAATGACGACGCATCAGTATTGGCGAATCAGTGTCTTCTAAGTATTTTATTATAACGAGGACCCGATATGATTTTCACTGATTATCGAATACAGCTTCGTACTGCTGGAGAGAAGAAAAAACCGAGTCAAACATTATTATTCAAGCTTTTACATTTTATGAATAGGTCCACGAAAGTGACCTGGTAATATTGCCAGGTCACTTAACATTGAATCCTTTTTTTTTCCTCACATTTTTGTTTGTGTGGGGGAGGAGGGTGCTCAGCTAATTTTAGATGTAACTTGACACCCCCTCCTCTTTCTCTTTTGAGAACCCAATCATGTGTATATTTATCAGCTGTTCCAAACCCTGTCAGTTGGAGAGAGCAGGGGCGGGACAGGGAATATGCTGGTGGTAATTAAACCCCCCCCCCCTCCCCCACATGCTTCAACTGTTTTAAATACACATTTGAACATGATATTGGCAACTGCTTTCACTCTTTCTCCCTCTCTCTCTCACTATATCACAGCATTACATATTTTTTCACCAGTAAATAATTCTCTTTTATTATCTTTCCTTTTCTCATTTGCTTTTTATCTTTCTCTCTCTCTCTCTCTCTCTCTCACACACTAAGTCACAGCATTATGTATTTCTCATTTTCATAACATCAACATCTCTTACCATTTAATACTTTTCTCTTATTCTCTTATCCTTTGTTTTCTCTCTCTTTCTTTCTCTCTCTGTCTCTCTCTTTCTCTCTTTCACCCTCTCACTATATTTCAGCATTACATATTTCTCATTTCTCACAATCAAATAATTCTCTGTTATTATCTTTCCTTTTCTCATTTGCTTTTTCTCTTTCTCTCTCACTCTCTCTCTCTCACTCTTAGTCACAGCATTATGTATGTCTCATTTTCATAACATCAACATCTCTTACCATTAAAAACTTTTCTCTCCTCTTATCCTTTTGTTTCTTCTCTCTCTCTCTCTCTCTCTTTCTTTCTCTTTCTCTCTTTTCTCTCACGTTCTGTTTTCAGACTTCTTCCACGTATGATTTACTTAACCCAACCGTATGCACATTACAATTCAATATGTTAAAAGATATGAAGAGAAAATTGATATAAGATAAGGCAAATTAGGTTTATTTCATTTATTTTCCTTAAAACATCAAAATATTGTATTTCACCAAGTTTACAGATTATACGATTTAAAGTCGGATATATATTATTAGGCTCAAATAGTTTCATTTGCTCCTTGAAATTATTACAACTTCAATCTTATGCATTTTGCCACATACATTTTTTCCCAATATTTTAAAACAAAGCATAGGCTACTTCTGAGCCCTATTTCCTTCTTTCCAGAATATGTATTATAACATGATTGGCACCGTATTACAAAACAAATTATAAAAATAAGATACCTTTTGTGTTTTTAATTTACCCATGACTCAACATCATATATTTTTTTTCTCCAGTCAATCAATGAACATCTGATGTACAAATAATCCGTAAGAATGATGGTTGCTTTTTGGTCCACACTTACACGAAGGACATATTGGTGCCTTTTATTTTGTAGTAATGCCTATATGCAGCTTATATGGAATTAATACTTTAGTTGTCTATGGGACGGAAATTCAAAGGGAAGGATAGGAGGAAAGATTCGGTTTGAA